TGTAACTCCAGTCAGTGAAGAAGCTGGTAGTGACAAGCAGGGCTGGCACTAGGCAACGAAGTAGCCAGAAAAGGCAACAGATTGCCAAGGACAGCAAAGCAGGTGACCCAACTGCTGCTTTATTGATGGCATATCCTTGAAAAAAGGCTGGGCAGGCTGCTGTTGTGGACAAGAAGGGATCCTTTTTACTCCCTACATATAGATCCTTTTTATTCCCTGTCCCTCTGCTTCCCTTGGCTCTGCTCTCACTGTTAAGTCCTTCCCCCATTCCCAACATTGTTCCTTCTCCTCTCTGTTTAAACAGTTTTCAATAAACCTGCAGCGGAAGTGCTGAAATCACAAGCAAGGCACCTTCTTTCAGCTTTGATACAAAAAGGATCTTTGAAGAATAATTCTGTCAGGCTCTGAGAAGCAAGTGCAAATTTGATTCTTCAGAGGTGTATAATTCAACCGCAAGCCTGTATGTGTTCACAGGAAGAGCAGAAAGTACCTCCTTGACATCACGGCAGCATCTCTTTTCAAATTGAAATTTCTTAGTTCAAAGCCTGGAAATGCGAGAGCATCTCAGTGAAATGAAGGTAAACATATTTACAACACATTTTTCCCTTGTTCTACACTAGAACAAAGACATTCCTCCCCCACTCAAAAAAAAGCCAAGTCCAAAAGCCCATGGCCTGAAAACCTGGGAACAACATGCCAGTGTGACAGGGTACCAAACAGGAATAGTTAAGCAAGTCCACTGCCACAAGCTCCACCTTCTGTAAACTATGGAGACCAGTAACCATCTAAATGAGGTTTGAAAAATTGTGGCAAGCCCCACGTACCTGATTTTGAAGTAAGACAACATTTGCACCAGCAGAATGTTGACTTCCACTCCCCACCCCAAGCTGGAAGTTCATTTTGGTTCTAGGATTGCTCAGTAATTCTACCAAATATAGCAAGACTGCAAATCATCTTCTGTAAACTCCTGGCACACACGATGAAGATGCCCAGCTATACAGAGCCATCTTGTCTTGACACGCCTCTTGAAAAGCATCAAAATCAGACTTGCCCAGATAGAGGGGATCCCAGAATAGAGCTGTAAGTAACTTAAATATACATTAAGGTCAGTAACTGCTGGATACATTTATGGTCCTGTATCCATCCATCAGACTGCCATTTAAATGCTCTTTCTAAATGGTTATTGCTGTTTATTTGCAACACTTTGAAACTTACTATAATTTAACATATCTACAGCTCCTATCCTATGCTTCCCACAGTAACAACTAAAATACTCAGACTCCTGCACACGATGTCTCCCATGATTTCTTCTGAAGGACCACGCTAGTAGTTTACTTTGAAAGAAAGTATGTGGGCCAGAAGGCATATCAAAATCATAGAAAACCACAAAAATAAGGGCTTCAAAGGACATCAAGAACTCAGCTTTCAGCTCAACGGTATCTTAAGATTACATTAGTTAAGCAGGCCAGTTTCAGTATACGTCCGTAACACCATCATACCATCTTCCAAGTCGCACCACATTTTTTGGTGACGTATCTCTTGTACTTTCCCAGTACAAGAGAGACATGGAGCTACTGGAGAGAGTCCAGCAAAGGGCCAGGAAAATGTTTAAGGGACTGGATCATCTCTCATAGGAGGAAAAGCTGAGAGCTGGGACTGTTTGGCCTGGAGAAGGAAGGCTTGGCAAAGGGCCAGGAAAATGTTTAAGGGACTGGATCATCTCTCATAGGAGGAAAAGCTGAGAGCTGGGACTGTTTGGCCTGGAGAAGAGAAGGCTTGGGGGGGAGATCTTATAGATGCATATAAATATCTGAAGGGAGGGTGCAAAGAAGACAGAACCAGGCTCTCCTCAGTGGTGCCCAGTGACAGGACAAGAGGCAGTGGGCACAAAGTGAAACAGGAGGTTCCCACTGAACATCAGGAAACACTTTTTCACCATGAGCGTGATAGAGCACTGGCACAAGTTGCCCTGAGAGGTTGTGGAGTCTCCCACCTTGGGGATATTCAAAAGCCATCTGGACACAGTCCTAGGCAACCACCTTTAGGTGGCACTGCTTAAGCGGAGGGGTTGGACCAGATGACCTCCAGAGGTCTTTTCTAACCTCAACCATTCTGTGAGTCTGAACTAACATAGGGATATCCCTTATTATCCCAAAGAAGTCTTTACAACATCTTTACAGTAAGGTAAGACCTCATCCCTCTCCTCCTCCTTCTCAAAGCAGCTGAAAAACACAGAAAATTATTAATGCTTTGTACTCACTGAGCCCAGTGTCCATCAAAAATAAAATAAGAGGAAATATTCATTTGACTTGCTTCCAAGAAAGCAATTAGATGAGACAAAAATGTTGAGTAAAGTATTTTACTAGCAGGATGACTAAGAGATCAAGAACATTTATTGATCTACACTCTTGGACCCAAACAGCTCAAATCATATCAACTACCTAAGCTTTAAAGTTAACTCTATCCTCTGCCCAGGCCTCAGGGCCACTCAGCCTCTTTCAAAGTATCTTTGTGGGTTCTTATTAAGCATGAATTAGTTAGCAAAAGACTTTTCTGAGTCTCAGGTAAATCTGCCAGTTTATTCAAGAGTTGCTTCTATTGCCTGGTGACCAAAAGAGAGGACACTCACAGGAGGACAGATCCTGGAACTTTATGGCCCAGCTGAAAAGACTTGAAGACCAAAAAGCTGAGCTAGCATCATAAAATCCTCTTGCCTCAGTGAAATGTTGCACTGGAGCCTACGGCGTCATGTCCATAACACCACAGGCAGAAACCCGTCACTTCAAAGCCCTACTGGACTTTTGTTAGGGCTTCTGTTTCTGAACATATTCTGAATCTCAACAAACCAGTCATTCACGGACACATACCTTGCTTTTCACCAAGCTTTTCAGGGTTACAGTGCTTGTGTTAAGTATTGAATTTACTGTTCTATATTATCTTTTCTCTCTCTATTCTACAGAAATTAAACAAAGCTAAAATAGAAGAGTTATCACAGGGTAAGCCACAACAGACACCATACATCAGCAGTTACTGCCTAGATATACACCATGCTATTCAAGGAAACTTGAGTAAGTTTATCCTTCAACGAAAGAGGAACAGTCTGACTGGCTTTGATGAAGAGTACAAACATTAAACAGGAGCCTTGGAAAAGGTGCCAGACTAAGTTCACACCCTTGTTTACTCACCAGGTAACACCTTTGGGTTTTCATACACTAAAGTAGAATTTAGGACGCACACACTGGAGTAGGCATTTGGTTGTGCAGTCACTTTCAGTCAGTAACCAGTCTTTAGATAAAGCAGTTTAGAATAGCTTAGACCTCAAGTTGAAAGACAAAATACAGCAAATATGCATGACAATCAGAAAAAGAAGTCAGAGAAAGAGTACCACCAGTAAAAAAACCCAAAAGTCTGAGTAGGGTAGGAAACTGTATATCACATTTTCTAAACATTTAAGTTCTTCAACATAATTATTTCAAGCTATCTTCTCTATCATGGGTGCCCTCTCTCCACCATCCCAGAGTTTTTGGAAGTATCATTTTGAGTTACATGCATACACCAAAAAAAAAGCTTAGACCATCTCTATTTAACTGAAGTGTTAAAGATTTATTAAAAGGCTGAGTTCCAAAACTTCCTCTCTGGACAAGACCATCTGCCATAAGCCCATCCAGGGTAAGAGGCAACAGCTGTGCGGAGAAGGAATGCACAAGTGCAGGTGAGTTATCTTGAAAAGGAGATGTTCCTGGGAAGGGAGGAAACCAGCACGCACTCCTTCCCCCTGCAAACCTGCCCAGTGGTTAGGACACTTCTTTTCCCCAGCTCATTCGTGTTGCCCTTCACAAGCTTTTGGACAGATTGGGGACAGCCCTACACCAGAAGACACAAGGCAACAAAAGAAAACCTGCAATACGACCAGTGTTCAAAGGCCTTTGCTTGCCTGCTGCACGCATGATAAAGGCTCCCCACCTCCCTGGGCAACAACTGACTGCTGGGATTGGCAGAAGATTTTACTCTTATTAGTCAATAATACAATACCATACAAGACATTGTCATAGTAGACACTGCAGAGGTTTAGAAACGCTTGCCATTTGTTTCAATCTCAGTGTAAATGGAGAGTGTTGTGGGGTTTTTTAAGCTTCATTTTCTATGGAAACCAAGCCACACACCCAGACTGTCTCGTCTTTCCCTTCGCCCCAGACGCAAAGGAGGCTCCATACAGGCTAACTGCATCTTACTGTCAGAGCAGTAAAATTCAGCAGTCTAGACAAACTGAGCACCATTTAACAAAAAGACAGTAATCTCATAAGGCTTTCAGATGTCTTACTGCAGGAAAAGTAAGGTGAAGCTTGCAGAAGAGAGGGCTACTCTACTTAGCGAACTTTTACACATCAAAAAACGCAACTGCATGCAAGATAAACGTTATGAATCCCCAAATACTGGGCAGACTTCACTTGGAGCTCCCCTTTCCTCAGGTGACCAAGTCATTAGCCACAAATTCACATGCTTCCTCACAGTGTTTGTGGAAGTAAAATGTTAAAATTTAATTCAAATATACACTACTGGCTGAAAGAGCCTGCATTTATTCTTTTTGATTTGTAGTATTTCTAGTTGTGAAATAGCCTCTTATTCAGACTTTATCTCCCTATTGCAGTGATGTCAGATTCTTTATTACTTTTTTTCTTATTAATACACTTCTAGTAGTGAAACAGATTTTCCTTTCTAATTAGGTGTAGCAATTAATAACTTAAATTGAACTGATGATGATACAGTTCTGCTAAACAAATAACCAAAGCTGAAATCAGAGTTAATTGTTTCCATAAATTAGCGTTGACATCTACAGCAGCTTATTCTGAACTTCACAGCTAAACTGAGTTAAAAAGAAAAGAAAAACAATTAAAATATTTCTCATTTATTTGGCTGCTCCCCACACTCAAGAAACCAGTCCCTCAAACAGCTGATCCTTCTTGTCACTGTAGTTAGGACTTACAGCAATCAACACTAACCTTAGAGGATTTTCTTCGGCTCAATCAACTACCCTTAGAGGATTTTTTCCAGCTTCTTCTTGCCCAACCCACCACTAGTTTATCTGGCTGCCTGTTGAAGATAAGGAAGAAACAGCTTAATTTATATACATTTATATATAATATATATAAAAATCAATATGTAAACAGTTTATATTAAAACACTTGCAATACATAATAACCTTAGTGTATACATTATCTCTTAAAAATAGCTCATCTAAAAATCACTCTCAGCATCAGTCATTTAACAGGAAAAATAATGCTGTATTTTTAGAAAAAGGCTGTCCTCCAATCTGCACACTACTGTCATCCTTCTCCTCCTGCTCTCCCTGCCTGCGGGCATCTCCCCAGAGCCAGCAGTGCACCTGAGCAGAAACTCTTCCATGGGGCAGAGAACAGGATCCAGCCTCTTTAAGAGACACCTTGGAAACAATCCAGTACCCAAAATAAACATCAATGCAAACTCTAGTTTGAGTTTCAAAGCAGATATATTGAAAAGGTACTGCTAAGCAGCGAAGAAAACGGGCAATTTTACTTTTTCACCCCCAAAAGGTCTCAAACAAGAGAATCGAGTCCTGTATTACTCCTCAAAATCTCCTTGGATGACCACAGACAGATAAATCAGCACTTCCTCAACTTTCACTCAGAAGCATGCCGAAATTCAGTACGGCTCTCCAAGCAATTGTTTATTTGGTATTTCTAATGAATGTGGATGGAAACCTCAATAAAGGACATTTCCAGTACAAACTATTTTCTCTTTAAATTTCTTAAGATTTATTTCTTGGTTAATAGTTACAGCAATATTACTTCTACCTTATTAGTTTTGCAATTGTCTCCGAGTGATTTCTGATATTCACCTAACTTCCAGGCTTTTTTTTTTTTTTGGCCCATGGTACACTTCCCATTGTATGACCACAATTCTGGTCGCTTCCAGACTCATGACCCCCCTTCCGGAGACACCTGACCCTCCGTTCCAGCTTTGTTTCCTGGCTGATGACCCAACTCCCATCAGCAAGGCTGACTGCAAATCCACCCACAAACGATTTTCAATGGAGTTCACATCTCCACTTAAAAGTGTTGAAGCTGTGACTCTGCCTGGAAAAAAAATTGCTACTCAGTTTTGAGACACTACTGTAAGAATCCTTGCATTTCCAAAGCCAACAGCAAAACCTGTTTCATCTTAAAAAAAAAAAAAAATTCATGGGGGGAAAAAAAAAAAAAAAAAAAGAATGTTACCAAGAAAAAGTCAAGCTATGATGCGCTGAAAGCGTTCTTTATAAGATGCACTCAAAATAATCCACACAAGTAGTCTGAATAAAAAAAAAAAGCAGTGTTCACACTGCTATCCTAGTATTTTATCACAGGGAGACTGTATCTACTTCATAACTAACTTTTCAAATGAAAACCCAACTGGTTTAATAGTCTGAGAGTTCTTTTTAAGCACTGAAATGCTGGCTACCATCACATTATATACCTTCCCATGAAGCTGTTCATCATTTCTGCAGGCTGCAGTAAAACAACTGCATCACCTATGATTCACATTTAAACCCCACCAGAACTAAAGTTCCCCTGAAAAATAGAGTTAAAGGCAGATCCTGTGAAGGAAATGAGGACACTGGCTTTTATTTGCTATTCTGTATCACACCTTACTCCTTTAATATATCCCTTAATTTGCAGGTTGGGATAAATTGAAAGTGAAATAATCAACTGCATTTTAAAGTGTGTAAATTCACTCTTATGGCTTGTTTAGGTGACCTAAACAGTAGGTTGGCTCTTGCTGACGGCTTCTCCTGCAAAATCTTGCTTGGTAACGAGGTCATCCTGTTGCACTTCAAAAGCTCTTTGCTCACTTAGTGTTGGGTGCGTTAGATTCTCATCTGTTGGCACACACCCCCATTCACTTTGATGGGAGCTGTGTGTGCCACCAGGAAAAAACCCACCCCTAAGCAATTTACTTGAAGCAAAGCAATCCAAACCTATGCCTAAGACAAATCAATTTTTTCTGGAGTTATTTCACTTTGCACTTTAAAGCTGACTTATTCTAATTTCAGAAACTAGCTTGTGAACCAAATTTAATTTAACCTTGACTCATTCAATCCTGAGCTTGCCTCTGAACACAAAAAAATGCCCAAATTGGAGGGGCAAGGGGGTTAGGGAAGAAAAAAGAAAAAAAAGGAAAAAGAATATGCATTTCTGCAGTGCTGGCAGCTACACTGAAGACAACCCTCCGTCCGAGAGCAGGACTCTGTGTCCCAGGAGTCACACAAATAGCAGCTTCAGTAGGAAAAGGTAGGACAACACCTGCAGAGGTTAATGGGAAGAGCACAAGTCCATGCTGCCACCAGCTCTCCACCTCTTCTCCCTCTCACCTAAAGGGACACAGTGCTTGGCAGCATGTCTCCTCCCTGTTCCTTCTCGCCAGGGCAGCCAGCCACTATAGTTGGCGGTGGCCTTGGCCTTCTCAGGTGTACAGGAATATCCACCATCAGAAACATGTAAGAGACAAAAAGACAGTCTTCATGGTATACTTAGTACATCATGAAAACATTGAATTCCAACACATGGATTTCAAGAGTAAATTTCCATAAGTTTTCATCAGAAGAGCACTCAGGTTTCCAGAGATCCCGTGAAGGAGGCTAAGAAGGATCCTACCCAGGTCCCTTCCTTTCCTGCAGCTCCAGCTCAAGTAACGGTAATGCTGCTTTGTCCCTCTAGATCTGTTTTGATCTTGTCTTCTTTATCTTAGCATCACAAGTGATTTTTTCTTACAACGGCACTGGATCATCTCCCCAGGGGGGAAACATGCCACGAGCTGGAAAAGTGAAGCAGCACACCCAACTCCACGTGGTGCAACATTTAAACCAGGAGGCCAGCCCGCCGATGGAGATGGCCCAAGAACAGTTATACACGTGTGCAAACAAATGGGCCAAGAGAAGACAGCAAAGTGAGGAAACAGGAGGAGTGTCAGTGTCAGCGCCAAAGTGAGTCAATTCAAAGTAGGAATGAATCCACACCTACATTCCTGCAACGCAGATACTTTTTCATTACAGGGTACTCTAGAAGAGACTCGTGGCTATGCCAGATGCCTCAAAAAAAGAAAAGAGTAAAGAGGCTATATGTAGACACAACACAGTTATTCTGAAAAACTAAGTAGCATAAAGCAATTGTCAAGGGTTGACAAGCCTCAATGCAGAAATCCTTCCAAGTCTGGACAGAAAAAAATAAAATAAAAAAATTATCAGAGATGGGCAGTAAGACTTGACAGTCATCTCCTGTGATACTGGTATGAGCATGTCCCAGGTTGGTAATTGACCTTACATTTAATTCTAATTCTTTCATTTAATTTTAAACCACGCCATTGCTTGCTTGGCTTTACACAGTTTGTCAGAGACAGCTGATGCTTCAATGCAGTTCTCCAGCAGGAGCTGCGTCTGCATCACATACACACACAATTATCACCAAGCCTGGATTTATTTCCCAATTTTGCAGAACTCCCTCTGCCAGAAATATAAAGAAATAACACTAACATGAAAAAGCCAACTGAAGTCTCAACTCAGACTGAGAAGACCAAGCTACGCCGATGGAAGAGCATGACCAGCACTTGCTCCCCTAGGCTCTTTCACCAGTATATTTATTTTGTTAAGTACTAAGTATACTTTGCTCCTTCAGCTTCAAGTATAAGAGAAATCCACATCCAGAGGTACTTTGCCAAAACAAAATGAGGAAGGCCATCACAGTATGGAGGCAGAAAATTTAGCAAAATAGAACGGGGAGAGAAGAGAAGGCAAAAAAAATCCCAAAGGATGAGTTTCCCCACTAAGTATACCACATGCTTAACTCAAATAAAACACAAAGAACAGCAGTTTTTCTAAGGGATTTTCTTCAAGAAAGTCACAAATCCAACAATTCAAAAATATCTCCATAGAACTGTTTTACAAATGAAGCCAAGAGCAACCTTCTCTTCTACAATCTGTTCATTGCTCTTTTATGCCAATATACTTCTAGAAGAAAAAGCCCAGCTCGTATTTTAATCAGCAAATTTGCATTCAAGGTTTAGTGATGTCTCAGTGTTAGGAAACAGCCAAAACCACATAATGCAGTTTGCTCATTTAAAGCATTTAATTAATATTTCCTACTTCAGACTTCTCCCCTCCTTCAACATCATAAACCTGGGCTGCTCATTAACCAACCATAAAAGCAAATAAAATCCCTTCTGAAGAATTAGGCTGAAGACCAGTTTAGTCTCCTTTATAAGTTTACTTTGTAAACTCAGAGATCATTCCAAACACAAAATCCACAACGGTGCAAGCTGAACAAATACTAACGGTCAGCTATAAAAAAAAATTTAAAAGTTAATTTCCTGTGCTGCATGAACAACATTTCGCATTCTTTTAAACCCACCAGGTTTTAGATAGTCACTTACTCAGCTCCAGCAAAGCCAGTATGTTTAAGGTAAGGAATAACACACCACTAACCCTCAGACGATGGGGTTGGGGTGGGGGAAAGAACTGGGTTTTAGCTGAACAGCTACATCTCCATGCTAATTGCTTCAAACTATACAATTCAACACCACCAACCTTTCAGTGGGAGTATTTAATACTCTACTGGAACCTAACACGATTGCTTTGGTGGTGCTTTGCATTCCACCCCGTGCATTTCACCCCATGCCAGTACGCAGCATCGCCAAAGTAGCAGCAGCCCCCTGGGAGGGGGAGCCGAAGGAAGACAGCAGCACTGGGGCATCAGACACTGTCATCATGAAAGGCAGGGACCCAGCGGCTGGTACTGAAGGATCCAGTTTGGATCCAAAAGATCGTATTTTATAAAGCCTACCATAAACTTGTATTTGCTATTTACTCATTTTTGTGTGGTTCACAAGAAACTATTCCTGAAGAAAGGCAATTTATAGCAGTAAGCTTATTTTATTATTTACAAGTAAAACTTACTCAGCAAAGAAGCAGGTAAGATTATGATTTCAAAGTTTGTGGCTCAGAAAAAGAGCTTCATCATTGTCCTGCATACTTAGTAACTAAAAAGAGATTTAAAATACAGATTAATAGAACATCCATAATT